ATACTCAGTATGCTGAATACTGTTTACCTAATACTCAGTATGCTGAATACTGTTTACTTAATACTCAGTATACTGAATACTGTTTACCTAATACTCAGTATGCTTAATACTGTTTACCTAATACTCAGTATGCTGAATACTGTTTACTTAATACTCAGTATGCTGAATACTGTTTACTTAACACTTAGTATGCTGAATACTGTTTACCTGATACTCAGTATGCTGAATACTGTTTACCTAATACTAAGTATGCTGAATACTGTTTACTTAATACTCAGTATACTGAATACTGTTTATCTAATACAATATAAGGAAATACACTACTCAAAGTTAGAACTGGAAATTGTAATTGTCCCATTGTTCAACAGTTAGCCGATCCATGTTTAATCAAGGTTTAGGCTAAACATATACGTTGACCCCTGGGTGTTACTTGTCTAGACTGAATTGATGCAAAAAAACGATACAGTTTTTAAACTGCTTGTGATTATTTCATTTTTGTCATGAATCGCGAATGGTTTTGTTGCATTTTTTTTTTGTATTTGAAATTGACATCAATGTAAATTTGATAAAGTTGCAGTATTTCTGTGTAAACCTGTCTCTCTCGATTTTCCCACCTACCAACTGTAGTTTCATCGATTGTGTAATCATTATGTGCTTGTAGTTTCCCGTGTTTTTTTTATTATTAACATATCTTGATTAAGAATTTTAAAATATGTCGATATTCTAAAATACAGATGTTCCCAGGGATTACACTGTCATTTTAAAACCTCATATTATTATGTCTCCCCTTCGAATTAAGGGAGACATATTGTATTAGTACTGGTTCTTCTTATTTTTCTGGTTCTTCTTATCAAACGTGTCCGGACCATAACTTTTAAACCGTTTAAGATATCTTGATGAAACTTTAGGTGTGCATGCATCACTCACAGGAGGTTTGCAGTGCACTGGATTCACATCAAGGTCAAAGGTCAAATAAGTGCACATTTTCAGTAAATTCCAAACCGTTAAAGATATCTTGATCAAGCTTGAACTATGTCTGTATTACCGACAGAAGGTGTGCAGTGCAAAATAATTAGGTATCATGCTTCACTATATACAGAGTTACGGCCCTGTGTTTATTTTTAAAACTTTTTAAAAAGATTGTCCAGACCACTAGTTCTATGTTATTTTACCTACGTTGACCATACTTACCATATTTATATATCTTGGGAAGGCGGAATTTCTCACACTAAATTAAGAATTTATGCTCCGCTATATACAGAGTTATGGCCCTTTGTTTATTTTTTATACCGAAGTTTTTCCACGGCATAACTTCAAAACCATTAAAGATATTTTAATCAAACTTGAAGTATACCTGAATCACTCAAAGAAGGTGTGCAGTGCACTTGGTCTCGTGCATCCCTATAGACAGAGTTATGGCCCTTTGTTTAATTTTAATACCGAAGTTAGTCCACGGCATAACTTCCATGTTATTTCGCCTACGTTGACCAAACTTGCTAAAGTTTTAATGTATCTTGGGAAGTAGGAGTGTCGCGTTCTAAATTCGGGTCTCATGGCCCACTAAATAAAGCGATATGGCCCTTTGTCAATTTTTTATACCGAGGTTTTTCTATTGGCTAATAAGGGGAGATATATGTTTTTGTTCACAAAAACAAAATTCTAGTTAATTTTTCCTTGTGTTATAAATCATTTGTGTATATTCAGGTGAGTGTACATTTTTTAGTACAGGAATTACCAAAGAAATATGTATTTTTGCTCGATGTCAGACCTAATATCCCGCGTAGTTATTTAGACAGTGTAAAACTACACGAGTTACAAGTCACCCGAAATTGCTTAATACACCATCAAGATATTGTTTGTTTCGTAAGTATTTTGCCTTTGTCAAGTCACACGCGTTTGGCTTACAATTCGGTATTGCCTTCTGTTCCTCTTCATATTATATCAGTTTAATGTTCTAACAAAATGCCGAAGACAAAATTGATGTAGAGAATTAAACGTTTTAAAAGCCTGAAATAAAATCCATACATACAAGTACCCGTATTTAACGTCCTAACTTAGTCAGTATGTTGAATTTTGTTTACAGTATACATTATATGGAAATACATGATTAGTTGACAAGTAAGAATTGGATATGGTAGTAATAAGTGTCCCATTGTTGACCAACCTATGTTATATGTGGGCAACACATATGCGTTGACCTTTGCGTGTTGAATAGATTGAAATGCTTATGATGCAAATATTGACACGGGGTGAGAAATCGTGTCGGGGTGAGAAATCGCGCCGTAACATATGTAGGTCAATGAAGTTAACGTTCTTGTGTACATTGTGGCGTGTGAAACGGTGATATCTTTAGACGTCTTGTGCTATTTTGTGTATCTTATGTGTGCCATCAATCACAAGTGCTTCTTTTTGTATTTAGAAATAAACATCCACATTAAACACTCGCATGACTCAACACGGTATCAGTTATCAAGTAAAATAAAAATTTCTTCAATAAAACTTTTATTTCTATTAACGTCCCTATCGCGTGGTTAAAAGACGGGACATCAGAAATTGGATTCATTTTCAGAGTGGTTTGAATCTATTAAGTCCATCATTCTGAAAAGAAGTGGCAGCTTGAAACTTAAAATGAAATCAACCTTTTTTACCCGATATTTAACGTATACTAAATGGTCCGCAATAATAAGTCGGCAAATAAACTTTTACCGAAGACCAGTTAATAGTACGATATAAATCTGCCTAGTTCGTTTGTTTTGGATTCAGGAACTCTACAAGAATTTTGTATGAACTTTGCGAATTGCAATCTTTACTCCTCACTACTATTGTTCGAGTAGCACCATTCAAGCCGGGTTACAGTCGTATCGTCACCAAGTATGCCCAAGGAGAGGAATTAAAACAATTTAGATTTTGAATAACTTAAAAGATCTTCTGATCAGTCTCATGCAGCGTTTCTTCAAAAGATAATTATAACAGCACATTTGACTTTTCAACTCTGTATGTTACCTTACTTCATACAAAACCGAAGGAATTTCGTTCTGTTATTATGAGAGCTTTCAGATATATAGACGATGTGTTGTTTTGAGATAACAAGAATGAAATTTTAAAGCAAAAAATCAAATTCCCTTGTTTACTCACTACGAGCTTTTTTCAGCGTAATTTTGCTTCCTTTTAACGAATACCAGTGAACCGTTGCGATAACTGCTTGCGAAGCCGCCGGTATTCGGTTTCCAGGTAAAATAAATAGTCGGTTTGGTAATCATTTCTATACCTAGAATGGCAAACGCTAAAATAAACAATTGACGGTGTTGCTGTAAAAATCAATTCATGCAAGACAATAACAGAAGACAATAGATTTTGTCGAGTAGCCAATTCAAAATAGCGTGCAGCCTTGTTGTCAAGCATGACGTCATTTAAATACGGCGTCAAGTATTATATTTCTAACTTCCGTTCTAGTTATGATGCAGAAATATTTTCATATTAAACAAACCCCTAATGATAATTAATAAATTGCCAATCTAATCTGCAGGTTAATTTAATTCAACATGCTCTCCTTTTCCTCTTGTCTTGCTAAACTAAGAATGCAAGGAAATGAATAGCTTTCTAGAGAAACGTCCCGTGTTTCTACGTAGACACCAAATCAACTTAACAACCTAAACGTCTCGAAGATGAGACAAAATTGGAAGGGAACTGATACTGTAGGTGTGACAGAAATCGACAGATATAATAATGCATTTCATACAACAAACGGTTTGTTCATACAGTTGTTATATGTCGATATAGATTATCCGTGTCAATGATCATAATCCCGTCATTTTCTAACATGTATACGTTTTCCATTATGAGGTGGATAAGAGGAATTACTTACCCTGATCGTCATTTTCTAACATGTATACGTTTTACATTATGAGGTGGATAACAGGAGTTACTTACCCTGATTGTCATTTTCTAACATGTATACGTTTTACATTATGAGGTGGATAAGAGGAGTTACTTATCATGATCGTCATTTTCTAACATGTATACGTTTTACATTATGAGGTGGATAAGAGGAGTTACTTACCCTGATCGTCATTTTCTAACATGGATACGTTTTACATTACGAGGTGGATAAGAGGAGTTACTTACCCTGATCGTCATTTTCCAGGGTCTCTACCATTAACCTGTTTATTGACCCGATGAAATAGTAGAACCGCAACAACAGTATACTCATCCACATCAAATGAAATATGTACATCCGGGAACGTATGATGGACCCCACAGAAGTAGATGTGACGTCATCAGAAGCAACAGAAGACGGTGTAATGTCAATTTCAGTTCCTGTATAGCAAAGAGTGTACAAAGAGAGATGCTTCAAAATTGTATTTTCAAAAAGTGCAATTTCCAAAGACACAAATGGAATAGAGAGACAGAGAGCATAGAAATAAAACAAACACAAAGACAAATTGATATTCCCTGAACGACGTTTGTGTAACAACAGGACATTTTCAGTAATAATTAAATAGATAGTCAAGGTAAGTAGATAGTATCTTCATTGAATATTCGCAAATTACATCAGACTTTCTCTAATATATTTCCATCATATGGTGTATAATAATAAGTTGAGTAAAATATTGATTTGTATGTGGATAGGCTAAAGATAATCGTCATCTGATACGGCTATCATTTAGTGATAGTAAAAATTAAAGATAAGTAAATTTGGGTTAAACTTTGATTATTACGTTAGAACTAATGATGCATTGGTATTGGTAATTCAGAGCGAAAGACAGACATAGCGTTCCCACCGACCCGTTATGATTGAAACTTAGCCAGAGCTTGTGTTATAATAATAACGCAAACTGATTAAAAACAAACTAACAAACAACAAATACCTTTGTCGGTCACCTCTGTGTGAGATGGGACTTTCAAATGTTGTTCGTCATTGCTGAAAGTTACATTAATGCTGCCTTCGGGAGGATTGACGTCGCCGTTCATGTGCTTTACTTTAGCATCACTATCGTCCGATGACTTCGATGTACCATTCTTTGAGCCAGGATGGAAAAGAGTGCAAAAACCGGATATGACGACACATAATATGGCAACACCGATATAGGAAAACCTTGGGTTGATGCCGGTTTCGTACAGGGCCTGAGAAAACAAAAAATGGAAATTACTCATTTCTTTTACTTAAAGAGAAAGAATATAAGAAATTCTTCTCATTCGATTGTCTAGTTTGTCGTTAAAAGCTTCACCTTGACAACCATCTGTGTCACAACGGAGGAGTCGAAACAGCCATTAAGGAGACCGACGTACACAGAGGAACCCTTCGGCAACAGCACTGCCACCTGGCGGAAACAACATAAAATAATAGATAAGTATACTATTAATATTAGTCTGCATACTTTAGTATCAGAGGGAAGCAAATGTATTGCTTTTTAATGTAATTGACCAGGTGAGACACATTTAAGCTCTATCTTAGTGTTGATTACAAAATAACAGACCTTATTAAAAGAAAAAGTTTTAAAGAAAGCTCTTATTTCCAGGTGAAATTGAAAAAGTTTCATTTCATAAAAAGTTCAAAAGATAAACTCATATTTACGGTAACATTGAAACGGAAAACCTTAATAACAGGAAGAGGTGAAAAGGAAAGACTTAAATACAGGTGAAGTTTAAAAAGAAAGACTAATCACAGGTAAAGTTGGAACGAAAATCTTAATTACAGGTAAACATGGAAAGGAAAACCTCATTTACAGGAAAAAGTATATAGTTATTGATAAAGGAACAAATACAAAACTCTCACTCAATCATAGCTTGACAAAGGGACCGCTCGGTCTTGAAACGTTGCGACACGTTTAATAGTACATTGTTTGTGAAAAAAGTAAACTTTGATGTCACACATTTCCAAACTGATGAATCTTATTGAAGGTAAGGGAACAATTTCAACATCTGACAAAACGGGCATCATGGGAAATTGTTTATATTTTTTTTTTGTAGAAATAGTGTATTATGTACAATGAACGCCTTGCAAGATAATGAAATTTATCAACGCCGTTTTCGAAGAACAATCAACTAATTCTATTACATCCTAAAATATCAAACGATCCCCTGTTTGTTATAAAACAAGTGCTGGTTTCCTGAGAAGACACTTGTGTTCGGGTGCATTGTAAGGGTTTTGTGATGAAATGAAAGTTTATTGATTCAACATCAATTGTGAACCAAGTGCTATCAACTGATATGGTATCTTGCTCGGGGTATTAATGTGTGAGGAAAACTCACGTGCTCGGGCAAGTGACCCCATAACTTGTCAAGCCTGCGTTTTGGGACTAAACAAGACATGTAATGACGTCTCGTCGCTTTCATTCGGGTAAGTATTACGATAGCTGTATATAAAACCTCTCTAAGCTATTTTGTCATATATATATATATATAATTAACATCGCTCAATCCACATCGCCATTTTAAATTTTGAATCTTTATTTATTCTTCATATATCATTGAATAAAAACATAGAATACCAATCAATCAAAAATGCATAATGTCATTTTACGTTGGACATATGACAATTTAAAATCACCTTTATAATCACATTTTATAAATACAATTTCCATGACAGATGCAACGACGTTCACAGAGTCCGTAAAACTAATCTTTACCAACCCTTGTTATTTTCACTAAGCTGATATTTAATACATTCTGCGATGAGGTGAGATAACTAGGTAAAACTAGGATAGGGACGGACATAGCCAAGTGGTGAAAACTCAAACAAGACCACCCCGATGGCCTGGATTCAATCCCCGAAGTCAATGTAACATGGCGATTTCATGGAAATGATCAAATGACATACCTGCATGTTAGAAATAAGAAGTGAAATCCCAGCCACGCCTACGAACACTATCCCTGGGAGGACAAGCCAGGGGGTTTCTGAAAAAGTACGAGGAATTTAAATAATTATAATTGTATATCAAGGGTGTTTATCTAATACTGGTCTTCTCCATCCGCGACTTAATGAAATATTTATACAGATTTGTTGTAAATAGATGCTCTCCAAAGATTTAGGAGCTGAATATCATTGGTAATTTGTAACGAAAAACAGTAAACAAAGATATCTACAGAATGTGAAGAAGGAATGGACTGATATCGGTCGTCTCAATCATGTTTTAAGAATTTACTTAACCTTGTGTAGAGACATCACCTGCCTTGATGTAAGCCTATAACGACAGGAATGAGTTTAAAGAAACGCAAACACGAGAAACAGGAAGAATTGAATAATTCATTTGAAATATTTCGTAGATGTAGAGATTAAAGTAATCATTTCACTTCAAATGATTATTCCGTCTAATAATGTCTCATAAGTGGTACCGAAGGTGAAGTGAATGAATAATACATTTATAAAGCGTGTCGAAAAATAAATCGAATACAGTTCATAATGAACATAAAACCATATAAAATGCTTAAAACTTAACAACATTTAGCTTCATAAGAAAGTATATACTTAAACAAGTACAGCCAACCCCGGGTACTGATAGTACCAGGTGCAAAGCTACAGCCAACCCCGGGTACTGATAGTACCAGGTGCAAAGCTACCCGGCACTGATAGTACTAGGTGCAAAGCTACAGCCGACCCCAGATACTGATAGTACAAGGTGCAAAGCTACAGCCTACCCCGGGTACTGATAGTACTAGGTGCAAAGCTACAGCCAACCCCCGGCACTGATAGTACTAGGTGCAAAGCTACAGCCAACCCAAGATACTGATAGTACCAGGTGCAAAGCTACAGCCAACCCCCGGCACTGATAGTACTAGGTACAAAGCTACAGCCAACCCAAGATACTGATAGTACCACGTGCAAAGCTACAGCCAACCCCCGGCACTGATAGTACTAGGTACAAAGCTACAGCCAACCCAAGATAATGATAGTACCAGGTGCAAAGCTACAACCAACCTGTGGTACTGATAGTGCCATGTGCAAAGCTACAGCCGACCCCAGGTGCTGATAGTACCAGGTGCAAAGATACAGCCGACCCCGGGTACTGATAGTACAAGGAGCACAGCTACAGCCGACCCCGGGTACTGCTAGTACCAGGTGCACAGCTACATCCAACCCCGGGTACTGATAGTATCAGGTGCACAGCTACAGCCGACACCGGGTACTGATAGTACCACGTGCAAAGCTACAGCCAACCCAAGATAATGATAGTACCAGGTGCAAAGCTCCAGCCAACACCGGGTACTGATAGCACTAGGTGCAAAGCCACAGCCAACCCCGGGGACTGATAGTACAAGGTGCAAAGCCACAGCCAACCCCGGTTACTGATAGTACAAGGCGCACAGCTACAGCCAACACCGGGTTCTGATAGTACTAGGTGCAAAGCCACAGCCACCCCCGGTTACTGATAGTACAAGGCGCACAGCTACAGCCAACACCGGGTTCTGATAGTACTAGGTGCAAAGCCACAGCCAACCCCGGGGACTGATAGTACCAGGTGCACAGCTACAACCGACCCCGGGTACACCAGGTGCAAAGCTACAGCCTACCCCGGGGACTGATAGTACAAGGTGCAAAGCTGCAGCCAACCCCGGGGACTAATAGTACCAGGTGCAAAGCTACAGTCAACACCCGGTACTCATAGTACCAGGTGCAAAGCTACGGCCAACCCCGGGTACTGATAGTTCAAGGTGCAAAGCTACAGTCTACCCCGGGAACTGATAGTACAAGGTGCACAGATACAGCCGACCCCGGGTACTGATCGTACCAGGTGCACAGCTACAACCAACCCCGGGTACTGATAGTACCACGTGCAAAGCTACAACCGACCCCGGGTACACCAGGTGCAAAGCTACAGCCAACCCAAGATACTCATAGTACCAGGTGCAAAGCTACGGCCAACCCCCGGTACTAATAGTACCTGGTGCAAAGCTACAGCCGCCCCCGGGTACTGATAGTCCCAGGTGCAAAGCTACAACCGACCCCGGGTACTGATAGTACTTGGTGCTCAGCTACAGCCGACCCCGGGTTCTGATAGTTCCAGGTGCACAGCTACAGCCGTCCCCGGGTACTGATAGTACAAGTTGCAAAGCTACAGCCAACCCAGGATACTGATAGTACCAGGTGCAAAAGTACCAGGCGCAAATCTATAGCCAACACCGGGTACTGATAGTACGAGGTGCACAGCCACAGCCGACCCCAGTTACTGATAGAACCAGGTGCACAGCTACAGCCAACCCCAGTTACTGATAGTACCAGGTGCACAGCTACAACCGACCCCGGGTACTGATCGTACCAGGTGCACAGCTACAGCCGTCCCCAGTTACTGATAGTACCAGGGGCACAGCTACAGCCGACCCCAGTTACTGATACTACCAGGTGCACAGCTACAGCTAACCCCGGGTCCTGATAGTACAAGGCGCAAAGCTACAGCCAACCCCCGGCACTGATAGAACTAGGTGCAAAGCTACAGCCAACCCAAGATACTCATAGTACCAGGTGCAAAGCTACAGCCGACCCCGGGGACTGATAGTACTAGGTGCAAAGCCCCAGCCAACCCCGGGTACTAATCGTACCAGGAGCACAGCTACAGCCAACCCCGGGGACTGATAGTACCAGGGGCAAAGCTACAGTCAACCCCCGGTACTGATAGTACGAGGTGCACAGCCACAGCCGACCCCAGTTACTGATAGTCCCAGGTGCACAGCTACAGCCGTCCCCGGGTACTGATAGTACAAGTTGCAAAGCTACAGCCAACCCAAGATACTCATAGTACCAGGTGCAAAGCTACAGTCAACACCCGGTACTCATAGTACCAGGTGCAAAGCTACAGCCAACACCATATACTGATAGTACCAGGTGCAAGGCTACAGCCAACACCAGATACTGATAGTACCAGGGGCAAAGCTACAGCCAACCCCCGGTACCGATAGTACCAGGTGCAAAGCTCCAGCCAACACCGGGTACTGATAGTACGAGGTGCACAGCCACAGCCGACCCCAGTTACTGATAGTACCAGGAGCACAGCTACAGCCAACCCCGGGTCCTGATAGTACAAGGCGCAAAGCTACAGCCAACCCCCGGCACTGATAGAACTAGGTGCAAAGCTACAGCCGACCCCGGGGACTGATAGTACCAGGGGCAAAGCTACAGCCAACCCCCGGCACTGATAGTACTAGGTACAAAGCTACAGCCAACCCAAGATAATGATAGTACCAGGTGCAAAGCTACAACCAACCTGTGGTACTGATAGTACCATGTGCAAAGCTACAGCCGACCCCAGTTACTGATACTACCAGGTGCACAGCTACAGCCAACCCCGGGTACTAATCGTACCAGGAGCACAGCTACAGCCAACCCCGGGTCCTGATAGTACAAGGCGCAAAGCTACAGCCAACCCCCGGTACCGATAGTACCAGGTGCAAAGCTACAACCAACCTGTGGTACTGATAGTGCCATGTGCAAAGCTACAGCCGACCCCAGTTACTGATAGTTCCAGGTGCACAGCTACAGCCGACACCGGGTACTGATAGTACCACGTGCAAAGCTACAACCGACCCCGGGGACTGATCGTACCAGGTGCACAGCTACAACCAACCCCGGGCACTGATAGTACCAGGTGCAAAGATACAGCCGACCCCGGGTACTGATAGTACTTGGTGCTCAGCTACAGCCGACCCCGGGTACTGATAGCCCCGGGTACTGATAGTTCAAGGTGCACAGCTACAGCCGTCCCCGGGTACTGATAGTACAAGTTGCAAAGCTACAGCCAACCCAAGATACTCATAGTACCAGGTGCAAAGCTACCCGGCACTGATAGTACTAGGTACAAAGCTACAGCCAACCCAAGATACTCATAGTACCAGGTGCAAAGCTACAGCCTACCCCGGGAACTGATAGTACAAGGTGCACAGCTACAGCCAACCCCGGGTACTGCTAGAACCAGGTGCACAGCTACAGCCGACCCCGGGCACTGATAGTACCAGGTGCACAGCTACAGCCGACCCCGGGTACTGATAGTACAAGGTGCACAGCTACAGCCGACCCCAGTTACTGATAGTACCAGGTGCACAGCTACAGCCGACCCCGGGTACTGATAGTACCAGGTGCAAAGCTACAACCAACCCCGGGTACTGATAGTACCAGGTGCAAAGATACAGCCGACCCCGGGTACTGATAGTACTAGGTGCAAAGCCACAGCCAACCCCGGTTACTGATAGTACCAGGTGCACAGCTACAGCCAACACCGGGTTCTGATAGTACTAGGTGCAAAGCCACAGCCAACCCCGGGTACTGATAGTACCAGGTGCAAAGCTACAACCAACCTGTGGTACTGATAGTACCATGTGCAAAGCTACAGCCGACCCCGGGTACTGATAGTACCAGGTGCAAAGCTACAACCGACCCCGGGTACTGATCGTACCAGGTGCACAGCTACAACCAACCCCGGGTACTGATAGTACCAGGTGCACAGCTACAACCAACCCCGGGTACTGATAGTACCAGGTGCACAGCTACAACCGACCCCGGGTACTGATAGTACCAGGTGCACAGCTACAACCGACCCCGGGTACTGATAGTACCAGGTGCACAGCTACAACCAACCCCGGGTACTGATAGTACCAGGTGCACAGCTACAACCGACCCCGGGTACTGATAGTACCAGGTGCACAGCTACAACCGACCCCGGGTACTGATAGTACCAGGTGCACAGCTACAACCAACCCCGGGTACTGATAGTACCAGGTGCACAGCTACAACCGACCCCGGGTACTGATAGTACCAGGTGCACAGCTACAACCGACCCCGGGTACTGATAGTACCAGGTGCACAGCTACAACCAACCCCGGGTACTGATAGTACCAGGTGCAAAGCTACAACCAACCCCGGGTACTGATAGTACCAGGTGCAAAGCTACAGCCGACCCCGGGTACTGATAGTACAAGGTGCAAAGCTACAGCCGACCCCGGGTACTGATAGTACCAGGTGCACAGCTACAGTATGTCTTCAGTATTGTTAAGATAAGTATACCTTTAGTATGTCTTCAGTATTGTTAAGATAAGTATACCTTTAGTATGTCTTCAGTATTGTTAAGATAAGTATACCTTCAGTATGTCTTCAGTATTGTTAAGATAAGTATACCTTCAGTATGTCTTCAGTATTATTAAGATAAGCATGCCTCCAGTTAAAAAAAGTATAGCTGCAGTTGATATAAGTATGAATCAAATCAAACTGCTGAAACAACATCAGAGTAAAGTTACTTGGAATAATTTTAATCTTAATCTATTTTGTTCGATTTTTGATGATTTGACATGCGCACAACGAGGTTAAAAATTATGTAATGTCAGGACAAGTATCTATTCCCTCGAACAATTTGGTTTTATTGTCACGCCGGCCAGTTAAAAGAGCCCTTATATTCATATGTTTTTTTTTAAAGGATTCTTTGTTAGTTAAACATACCTGGAGAAGTGAAACCAAAGCAAAGCACTCCAGCAACAAGAACGAACCTGCAACGAAAGTAGAAATCAGGAATCATAACACGAAACGGTGAATATCAATAATAACTCACTGTTTCAATTAAGTTCTTTTGGAATTTCTACCGTCACCTTTGCATCATGGTAACATAAGATAACTTTTTCACCACTCAGGATATCAAGTCGAAACGAAAAAATATACATACAGGAACTGAGGATACATAAGAAATGGGATAACCTGGTGCAAAAGTGCGTTTTCGCACCACATGTGGAGGCCCTCTAGATGTTTCTTGTCAAATACTGGAAAGTGTGTCGGTAACTATCTTAGTTACATAGAACTTGTTCCAATCGTGGGATATACCGATTTATTACATTTTTACCAGTGAAATATTGAAAATGATTCACTCTATAAAAGTGATATTTTTTACTAGCCTTTCAGGTCAAAGCCTGTTTAACATAACGATACGCAGGCCTCGAAAATCCGTCTGAACCATCAGTCATTCTACTGCCCTGAATTATCATCTGTTACCTATCACAGAAGAACGTTTCATTATTTTCATGAAAGCAAGCAGACTGCAGGTCAGCACCTCTAACTTGATCGGAGAAATGCATGTCAAATGAAACACGATGTCAGCGTCTCCATGTCACGCTTAGCGATTGGCAGAAAGTATAAGAGAACCACAGTCATATTTGACGGTATAACCTACGAAGGTAATGGTGGTATGTTATCATCAGGATATATTGGGACAACACAACTCTGCATTGTCCCCACTCCACAGCATTTTAGATTCGCCGCTTGACAACTACGTGTGTATTAACCTAAGTTGAAATCACGGGACTTTTTCTAAATAAATAAGTACCTACTTTATTAAAATAACTAATTAAAGGATTTTAGTTAATTAAGGTGGCTCCACACATCGTCATCAGCGTCCATTTTCGTGACGTACATCCGGAAAAAGTAGAGCTCGGACTCAATTATCTTGATCGAAATGTGCATGTACTTCCGTATTGCGTTTCGGGCATTCAATATCGTAGTGCAAATTATAGTAACACCAGGGCCGTTTTCGTTTAAACGGTCAAACCGATCGGACCACTGTTGTTCGTTTATTAAATAAGGTCGGACCTAGTAATCTGATGCTCCTTTCAGGCGAGCCTTGAGAAAGCCTTGCAAGGCCTGCATACACATTTGCAGGTCCGCCAGGATTTATACCCGAAATTGTTACATTTATAAACGGTCAAACCGGTTGCTCCGCATAAACGAACAGGCCCATGGTAAACAAAAGTACACGTGCGTGCCGATGATATGTCAACACCCGATATCGAGATTTTACCGGGAAATGTTTAATCACACGTACTTCAGGAATAAAGCTTTCAAATTCATAGACATAAACAGACTCACGGGAAGACAGTGACATGAGACCAAACGACCTCAAGAAGGTCATATAGGAAACGCATGGCATGCGGACGTACCAACCTCACATGTGCAACACGAGTTCATAAGCTCGAGGTCGTTACGATTTCGCTGTTGAGGGAGTTTCGCTCTGTCGATTAAATCGTGTTTACAAATGTAGTTTACTTACTCTGTGAAAATAATGTTTTGTGAAATATCAATATACCTATAAAATGCATGTGTGAGTGCACGTGAGAACGGCATACCATGCGAAGCCTCTGGTCACATATGTACCTGACATGTAAATAAATATACCGTGAGTTAGCGGTCTGTGGAATGATGTCCAAAGTGTACATGACTGAGGGTAATTTGGTTCCATTAAAGAACAATAAATTGATAATTTTGATATCATATTTTTGATTTATTTCCATCATTTTTGTTATATGTAAACAGGGAAAACTGTCATTGTGTAAATGTCACCCCTCTGCAAAGAAATCCGATTTTTTTCAAGGAAGATAACTCTAACCCGGATCGAAGTGATTGTAAAATGTAAAATGAATTAATTATAAAGCCATCGTGTATATTTTGTTCAATTTCCCATTCTATATGTATAGATCTTTGTGTCCTGTTGGCTTTTAGCTTGTAGATAATCACTTTTATCCGTACAAATTCAATAAAAAAACACTTCGTGTAACATGTGTTACATATTTTGCGATAAATAAAATATTTGTAGGGTTAATTAGAAATGCTTCTTTTCATTTTATTATTGTTGTTATTGTTCCGAACAATGTCAAACACAAAAAAAACCACCGGAAAATATTAAAATTGACGAAAATTCATTTTTTTGGTATTTTTTCCAAAAAAGTCCCCAATCTATCGGAGTGTTTAGATTTTCATAAAATCAATTCTACATAGTTGCATAACCATTATATGAAAGTTTCAACGAATTTCGCTGGTTACTTGCGAATGTGTGGAGCCACCTTAAGAGTTTTTTAAATTTGATTAATGGTTTTGCAGAGAGGACTATATTTTGTCGCGTAGGGTTGTCTAGACATGCTCAAGGTAAAAAGGTCCATATAAAGTATTGTCAGCTTGATGGTTCACTTCCCGTTCCGAGGTAGGATTTCGTAAAAACTAATGTAATAAACAGAATACCTAACAGTGTTTGCAGTTATACCAAATATATTTCACTCGTGTGTCTTATACTTCCTAAATCCAAACAAAAATGATGGTTTAAACCGTATCATATTAATTATTTCGGCCATTTTGGACTCAGCAGTGTTGCAAGAATTAAAAACAATATCTAAAACGATCCGAAACATTTAAACTTTGAAATTAAGAGGAAAGATACATAGAAATCACTTCATATCGTGCTCTATATTTACATATTTATTTTTCTCAACAAATATTTCATGTGAAAAGTTCTAAACAGATTCCAGCAATAAGTTTGGGGCCAGCATTGACGACTGATAATCAGCATTCACATACAATCATTTTATGATGTAAAAAAATCGATAGAAACACAAGAGAAGGACGCACCTGTTTAGACATTTAGTAAGTCGATTACAATACATAACGTAGTATGTTTAACATTTTCATCTATGACACATCATTGGTCAAAGAATGCAATCTAAAGTATCTGAAACTGGAAGAGAAATACAGAAAATCTTGAATGCTGCCTTTAAAATTCTTTAAAACGTTACTTTTGACTACACGTATAATATATTCTAAATCTAATATTTCATGTAGGCCGTGCTGGAGTAAATCCAAGCTACAGGGTTAAGGCCAACTATTCCACAAGCAACAAAAGAAAGCAATGACATGATATCAAGACAGGACTATAGTTTCTATCATGTGCTGTCATTGTACGAAGAATTATATTTACAAAGGGTAATACACTCTCATGTTAACAATCCAGCTACAAAATCACGTCGAGAACTGTCAGTCTAACAGACAATCCACCCACCTGCTGGTGAACATCTAACACTAGAAATAGATCTCAACATTACAAATGTACAACGTTTGGCAAAAAACAAATACTTTATTCTTAAACCAGTCTTTCAAGTTAACTGTGCCAAAATGAATTCCAGCAACACGGTTTTTGTCAACATCTTTTGTCCAAACTAAACAAACGCGCATTGCTTTTTACCACCACCGTTTTTTTATTTCTATATTTCATGCTGGTTATCAAGATGTTTTGTTTAAAAGAAATTTCAAGCAAAACATGGAAATATTGGAAAAACAAAAACACAAATCGGAACCAACTATTAGAAACTTTTTTGTTGCCGTGTTATATCATACTTACACACTGCCAAAACGTGTTATATCATACTTACATACTGCCTAAACGTGTTATATCATACTTACACACTGCCAATACGTGTTATATCATACTTATACACTGCCAAAACGTGTTATATCATACTTACACACTGACAAAACGTGTTATATCATAATTACACACTGCCAAAACGTGGGATATCATATTTACACACTGCCAAAACGTGGGATATCATATTTACACACTGCCACAACGTGTTATATCATACTTACACACTGCCAAAACGTGTTATATCATACATACACACTGCCAAAACGTGTTATATCATACTTACACACTGCTAAAACGTGTAATTTCATACTTACACACTGCCAAAACGTGTTATATCATATTTACACACTGCCAAAACGTGTTATATCATACTTACACACTGCCAAAACGTGTTATATCATACTTACACACTGCCAAAACGTGTTATATCATACTTACACACTGCCAAAACGTGTTATATCATACTTACACACTGCCAAAACGTGTTATATCATACTTACACACTGCCAAAACGTGTTATATCATACTTACACACTGCCAAAACGTGTTATATCATACTTACACACTGCCAAAACGTGTTATATCATACTTACACACTGCCAAAACGTGTTATATCATACTTACACACTGCCAAAACGTGTTATATCATACTTACACACTGCCAAAACGTGTTATATCATACTTACACACTGCCAAAACGAATTCTGCGCGTCGCAGCGATGTATCGGTTGTACAGTTCTCCACATATTAATCCCGAAACCGTAAATATAGTCATACCAACGGTGAATAACAAGCTAAACTTGTCATCTTGTGCAAAACAATTATCACTGGTACCGCTATTAATATCGGAGGTTGTGTTTCTGTCAGTAGCACACAGGTCTTTGAACACTTGTTCTTGCTTTAGAACATAGAGGAGGGATACCCAGCCATACTGCAACCCCCCATACAGAAATGTCTCCAATAAACTGATTGTTATTAGAAATACTAACTTACTTCTAGCTAAAGCCATTTCGTGGTCACAACACAAAACAACATGTGCAATTGTTCATTTACGTCAAGGGTGTAATAAAGAATCCTGCTGCGCTGTATCTTTATATGTATATCGGCAACACGCGAGTGGGTTCTTTTGTTGAAAGAGTATGCTATTATACATTGTTAGGTGTTAACTTGACTTCTATGTATAAGGTGAAAGCGAAACACACCTACTCTTATTTCCGATTAAAATTTCCGTAAAAATATTATCAGGCACTGTAACACGATTCGTTTGCAACGCGTGTTTTGATTGGATAATGACCCTGTTCTGACCTGCAATAAAACCATGGTTAATTCCTTTGAAACAGCGCACGTCGTAATTAAGCTACGCCCTGTACCTTACAAAAACCAACACGAAAAGTTTTAGCATATTCCATAAGGGGCCGTATAGTTTAATCGACAAAATTAAATGACGAATAAACTGTTTGTTTACGTGAATAGATAAATATTAAGCTTCCTCGCACGTTGTTCAATTAAACTTTAAACTTTAAACACAGATTTCTTCGCAGAAAATAATTGAAGATATCAATCGCTCAGTGTGTCATGCATATTGAAACGACTTCGTTTGAAAAGGCCTTTCTCATTTTGGGCTAAACCAAGCACGGAGCGTGGAGACAGAGACCGAGACAAGCAAATACAGGGGTCGTTTCAAAAATATTTTTATATGGAGGGTACCGTATATGGTATGTCAGAGTGTGTAGACGCACATGTGCGTGACTACAGGTAAGCTAACAGGCCTAGGTAACATCATATGGAGATACAGATAAGAAAATATGTAACCGGTAACCACAGTCGTTATAGTCTTTTTCGTTGCTCAATGCGGCAGATATGTGACCGTGGTAATTGATATTTCAATATCACCCGGGACGTCTGTTGTATTTTTCTGACGCCGATTGAGTTAAAAGAAATTCCCCGAGCTAAAATAATGAGTTGGAAGAAGTTTGTATTTTACATAAGTACCAGAGTGACAGGGATCACATATACATTTGTAGATTAAATTTCCCATCCACAAACTCCTTGGGATACGATATTTCCATATTACGAAAGAAAAGTTTAACGCTTACACGTTGTCTTTTTATAATAGCGTTAAGCTGAAGGTATTTGTTACACACGGTGATTGGACAAAAGGACGTTTATTAGCATCCCTTCGTGACAAAGAAACGTTTATGAATGTTCCTTCGTATCAGTAACATGATGGCGACGAAGCGACCTTTATTATTCTGTCATCTGATTGAACACTAGATAAGCTACACTATCAGCCATAAAAGGAGTGTATTGACATATGTTCTTGTTAATTCTCCTGAAAAATAACAACAGAAGAAAGTAGAAATCATTTTATGCTATTCTTAGAAGACTGTTCTAGGGATCATTTCAGGGGAGTGAATTTTCGGATTTCTATACTACTGCGATCAACTCTAGCATGCACCGAGTCTTTGTTTTTAGTATAAACCATAATTTAAACCAGGGGATGTTACCAGGGGACGTTACCAGGGGATGGGATGTTACCAGGGGATGTTACCAGGGGATGGGATGTTACCAGGGGATGTTACCAGGGGATGGGATGTTACCAGGGGATGTTACCAGGGGATGTTACTAGGGGATGTTACCAGGGATGTTACCAGGGGATGTTACCAGGGGATGTAAGGAGCACTAAAGGATCCTTTCTAGTGTTTTGTCGCAAGCAGGGGACAGGAATCCTTAATACAGATGAAATGATAAATGGTTTGAGATGTTCCCTGATTTTACTACTCTCGGTGTCCGTCTCTGGCTCCGTTGTAGATCTGCCTCAAAATGAGAAATGTCTAGTGTGGTCGATCTAAAATCAAAATTCGACGTGTACAATTGTCATAAGAGGACGTTTTCGAAAATCTAAAAATTACCACCCGTCAACAAAAAGGCGTGGTCAGTTTGCCGTAGAATGAAAGGTTACTAGCACAGGTTTATAATGGAAATCACGATCGCCAAAATACGACGTACTGTCCCCTAATCAAAATGTATCTCACTCATCAGTTGAAGGGAGTCATCATTATACAAAAGGAAATAGTACGGTTCTCAACGACTTTTTAGGGCATATCAGTTATACAAAGATTCATCAAGAGTTCAATCAGAACCCGGTAACATAACAATGTGAACACTACCTAGAGCTGGGACATACAAGCGAGAGCTCAGTCAGAACCCGGTAACATAACAATGTGAACACTACCTGGAGCAGAGACATACAAGCGAGAGCTCAGTCAGTACCCGGTAACATAACAA